ACATTTTTAATGAGAGTATTTAATTCCCAAATATGTCTTATTCTCCTTCTCTTTCTAAATCTTTGCTATGTTTAGTGTACCACTCAATCCAGTTTTCAAACAATGTTTGCATGATGGTTTTAAATGTTGGAAAAGACTGGAGTTGTCCATGTTTAGATTCACTCCCATCTAGGAAGTGTGTGTGTGTATGTGTGTATATATGTGTGTGTGTACATACACATACTTGAGGCCATCCTCATAAGTTGTCAAGGTTGTGAGACTTCTAGGTGTTTCAGTGTTCACTGATGTTAAAAAAATGTGATATGAAAATATTATTTCAGAAGATTTCAAAATTCTGTAACCTGTATTTTCCCTGAAAGGGCTACTATTTCCAGCAGGAGACCCACTCATTTGGTAGCCAAAGAAGCAGCTGCCATTGCTCGGTTTCGTGGAACTGCAGTATCTCTTGATGAACCTTGCAAAGATGATATCGGGCGGTAAGCACAGAACTTCACCTTTGAGGAAGCCTCGTGGTCCATTTATACTTGTGTAGCTTCTTCTCATATGGTGGGATTCTACATTTTTGTTATCTTAATCATGAGATTTATGTTTGAGGTATAATGCCCAAGGAAGGAAGACTTAGCTCTCCTCTCTCCAGATGTGATCCCATAATGCACAATGACATGTTATAAAACATGCCTCTTTTACTTCTTCAAGCAAAAATGCAAGGAAATGTTTTCCTTCATAGATTGGATGTACAGAATTTACTGTATGACCAATAACCTGAGGGGTTTTGCTCCACTATTGAAGAGAGAACAGTATTTTTTTAAAAAATAAACTTGAAAGCCGCACTAAATTACTTGTGAACATATGTAGTAAGACTTGAATTTTTGATTACTGACTTTATTTTTTCTTTTGGTGACTTCAGTTTCAGAATTTAATTAGCTGGTACTGTAACATTTTACATATTCTATATGAGTTATTTTTAGCAGGGAGGTCAGTAGTTTATAATCCAATGTGCTGCCAAATGGCTTCTATCATTACCAATCAAAAATATTTGCCTCCTGAATGGATTCCTTTTTTGTAGTAAGAAGAATAATGGAAGAAAAAGTGGGAAAATACAGGGTGGTTAAAAATAGAAGATATTGTCATCTGGATTCTTGGTACAAATTCTATGAGTTAGGCAGGACAATTATATAACACAGGACACATCTGAAGCATATATATGAGATCTTATTCCATTAAAAAATAGAGTATAAAAATATATGGTTATTTTAAAATGGAAGAACATTAACTAAATGAACAGATAGCATAATACTTGAATAAGACATAAAGTTGCTCCTAGTTTTCATCTTATACACTTTATGGCTGAACTGTCAGCAAAAGTTCAAATTTATAATACGAATTTATTTTTGCTCTTCAAGTGAAAAAATGTATACTGGTAGTCCATGACTTACTACCACAATTGAGTCCAAAAATTTCCATTGCTAAGCAGGTCAGTTGTTAAGTGAGTTTTGCCACCTTTCTTGCCACAGTTGTTATGCCACTGCTATTAAATTAGTAACATGTTTGTTAAGTGGATCAGGCTTTCCCATTGACTTTGCTTGTCAGAAGATTGCAAAAGGTGATCACATGATCCCGGGACACTGCAACTGTCCTAAATACATGCAAGTTGCCAAGCGTCCAAATTTTGACCAATGGTTGTTCAGTGCGATAGTCATAAATCACTTTTTTCAGTGCCGTTGTAACTATAAATGGTCACTAAACAAATGGTTGTAAGTCGAGGATTACCTGCACAACTTGAAGCCTGAGACCATTTGTGGCTTCCAAAAGCTTTGGGTGCAGCTTCATATATAACCATCAATTTCTGGAGATAACTTTCAATGGGACAGAAAATGAAATGAGAAAAACATGACTGGAAATATTTGCACTATTTAATGTTAATTAAAAGGAGATGTACATGAAATGAAGTCATTTTGTTTTTGCCTCAGCCAGTACATTTTGGAGGACAGTCCCCAGAATGTCATCAAGTACAAATAGCCGGTAAAGATTTTCAGCCAGGAAAAAGTGCACATCCCTACTGTATATCCCAATAAACATCTTTGGGCACAATATAATATAACTGGCCAGAGAAGCACCATAAAGCTAAAAAAAAAAGTGAAAGAAGCTGCTGACCATGACTCTTCGTTATTTCTCACTTTCATAAGATTTGAAGGAGTTTAAATCAAGAAGCGTGTTCCACTTGGAATAGTGCTCCCTCTTTAACTAGAAACTGCTGTTTCTCCACTTCCTTCTTTAAGTTGGTCGCCAGTGAAAATGATGTTTCGGTCTACACTGAAAAGGATAATGTTCCTTATCAAAATAACAATATCACCAACAATTATAGGTGGTACCTGCCTGCCTAACTGCCTGCCCATCTGCCCATCCATCTATCATCTATCTCATTTAACATTCCATTAAAACCACGATAAAACAATAACTAAAAGATTGCCCAATGACTCACAGCTAAATTCCAAATGTCCCTTTAGAAGATAAGGTATTCAGTGTCTTCCTGGATGCTAAAAATGAAGGAGGCCAAATGCGGGCCTATTTTCTGGTTCACAGCCCTTTTACAGAGGTAACACCCTAAGCAGATTTTTTCCTAGACTCAGATGAGGAAGTCTCTAAAGGTTTAGCCCCACTTCACATGTAGCTTTACAGCCAATGACCACTACTTTGAATTGAGTCTGGTGGTCTACTAGTAATCAGTGCACCCACAAAATAGTATTATTTTGCAACAGCAGGTTTTATTAACTAGCAGTCTATCTTCTACTTTCTATGACAATTCTAGCTTCCATATTGTCTTCAAAGGAAGACATGTGTAGACCATTTTGCAATAGTCCAACTATGTGGTGATAAGAAATTAGTTGCTATTTCCAGATATTAAGACTGCAATTTGTATACCAGCCAAAGCTAGCAAGGAGCTGCAAGTGCAGGAGGATCATTTAATTATAGGTATGCTCCTCCTACTGTTACAGTTACTGTAAGTGATATTTTGAAAAGCCTTGATGTTTATAAGCAAACATCATTTCCATCTTGCTCGATTACAGAACCCAAACTAGGTTTCATATAGATGTTAAAGGTATGGAGGACACAAATGACCTGTGTGGTTTCTACAAATGACCCCTACACTGGAGCAACCATGGGCTTGATCACCTTTTTATAACTGATTGGAAACACCACCAAAGGTAGAGCAGAACCATTGCAGAGTTGTGCCTCCAACAAAATACCACAGTAGGTGGGTGCTAGGAGGTTTCCATGAAGGGTGTACTCTCCAGTTCAGATTCTGATAGTCATCTGCTTTTGTGACCATTGATCTTCTGTCCCATGTCTGGGCCTGAGAACTTAATCAAAGGGATCCAATAATCCTGTTCTAGAATTCTTGTGTTGAGACCCACAGAGATGACCTTAGAGAAACTGCCTGTAAAACATATTTTAAGCCTAGAAAATGAAGAAAGCATTAAAAAGAAGCACAAATTTACTTTGCCTTAACTCCTCCAAATTTCTCCAGAATAACTATATGTTCTAACATAATTATTCATTTCTCTCACTCTTAATTTTTTCCTCAGGAACACAGTGCCCTCAGAGATCAATAATGCTAGCTACTTACGGATGACTGTTGCCTCTCAACCATTCACTGCAACAACCCAGTTTAAGCAAATCCCTTCACCAGATCAACAACCTACCCTTTGGAATTATGATCCACAGCCAAAAGATAATATTCCACTATTGGGATTAGAATCTCCTACTACACCTTCCACTCTGTCTCCTGGATCTCCAAGAGCTACTGCTCCTTTTGCAACTAATCGAAAAGATCAACTGTAAGTTTTATACCACTTTGGTCTAAATTTCCCATATTTTGCTTGTCCTTTAGCAGACCATTTAAAAGATGACATTATTTCTAGACTTCAGGCAACAGGACTATATAACAGGACAACTATAGAACAATAATTAATAGAGAAATTAATTAATTAGTGTAACATTTTCAAAACATTCCCAAACTTTGTATAATGGTTTCATAACCTTCCTTTTTCTCTTAATTTACTAACCTCGGCAGGTACAGTGAGGTGAGGAAAAGCATGGTGGAACCATTGCTGCAAGGTGAAGCATATTCAAAACCAGAGATGATTGATAATCCACTGTATGACTTCACGAAATCCAAGGACAAGTTACTATTTAAGAGAGAACAGGAATTGTTTAAGGTCTCCCGGAAAGAACTCCCAACTATTCCTGATCAAAACTTTCCTTTCACCAAGCTACAAGAGACCGATGGCAACAAACCTTGCAAGCCACAATCCTCCCCACCTTTCCTTGTCCCCACACACAGATTTCGTTCTTATACCTGTTCTAATCAATCTGAGGAAAACAGTACAGTGAAGGAAAAGATTCAAAACAAGCAGAAACCTTGTTCCAATTTAGATCCCTCTCTGTCAACTTTCAAGAATCCCATTAAATTAACAAGGTCTGAAATAGTGCAGAATAAACCACCTCTTCCATCTAAAAGCCAGGTAGTGCTTGATATGCAGCACGTCAAGGGCCGAGACTATCGAGAAAGCTCAGAACTTCCATCTCAAAGGAAACACCAAAATGAGGATGGGTCTATTGGCAGAGCAACTGTGCCGGTAAGTTTAATATAGTACAGTGATGGCGAACCTTTTAGAGACCGAGTGCCCAAAAACTGCCCCGCCCCCGGCCTGCCCCCGCTCCACCTGCCCACCCCCGCCCTGCTCCGCCCTCACCCCGCCCGCTCTCAGGGCCATCCACGGCCTGCCGCAGATCGCCCAGGCAGCCCTGCAGCACCATGGTGGCCACACCCTCTGCCTGTGCCCACAGCATCATGTGCTGTCCAACTGCCATGTGCTTGGCTGCGCTGCTCCGTGTGGGCCGCACCCGGGAGTGACTCTCCTCCGGGGGGGCTGTTGGTGAGGAGTGGGCTGCGGGGAGAGGCGGGGCTGGGGCAACAGTGTGCGTGCCCACTGAGAGGGCTCCGAGTGCCGCCTCTGGCACTCGTGCCATAGGTTCGCCACCACTGATATAGTACATAGCATGTATATTTTTAAACAGGAAATAGTTCTTCAGAACTATCAGCCCAGTCTGGAAATGCTAATGATTAAATATGGAAGCTTTTGCATAGGTAGGTATGTGGTGACTGAGTAACCAAGTCTATTTCAGTTTTGTTATATATTTATAATTATATATGATTTTATATGAAATGGAAGACAGATTAAAGAATCCATAGATGGTACCATAGCTTTCTCTGGAATCATACAACTACTCCAATAATAATTGAAAGAATCTTCAATCTTGAATCCAATCAAGGAAAAAGTTGGCAGAAATATTTGAGGAGATATTTGAAACAGTAGGAGTAGTAGGGCAATTTACCATGGGATATTTTTGTTACTTTTTTATAAACTGAGCAAATAGTACTCAGTTTTCTGTTGGTCAGCATTTGACCCATTTCATTAATCTTGCAAACTAATATGCTAAACCAGGTGATCATAACAATACTTCATAATTTTTAAATATCTCTGAGATAAATGGAGCTACTACTGTCTTTTGTAATGTAGACTGTGAGTGTACTTTAAGCAGATCAAGAGACAACTAAGCAGTCTTTGTTAATTGTGTACCATTTGAAAGTGTTTGTGCCCTTTATTTATTTTACAAGATCTATAGGCTGTACATCACACGTGTCCTACGATTCCCACTTACTCATGCAGAGTAAAGCAAAGCAAAATGCAATCAACAAAACAAAACCATAGAATTACAATATAAGGTTTTGGGCATAGCTGCAACCCACCTCATCCACCCACTCCTCCTTTCAAATCATATCAATTGGTAGAAGAACAAAAATGTCTTTCAGCCTCCCAGGACTTGTTAGAATAGTCTTTATAGATAAAACACAAAGAGGGAGAGGCCAGATTCCAGGGGGGCGTTGTTCCAAAGGAGAAAGGGCCACAACAGAACATTCAACTACTTAAAGGTATTTTCCCTAAAATAATAAAGAGAACCATGTTGCATACTAGACATCAAAGGAGGTATATTTGATGCTATAGTTTTGTTCACTGTGAGATGCATATATTGTCACATACAAGATGAGATATTTGTTTTGACACACTATATTTGGAGGGACTGGCTTGACCTGTCTGAGATCAGAAGCTAAATGTGTCTTGCCTGTTCCTGAGCAACATAGCTTTTCATTGATTATTCTGTCATAAGGATGGATGTTATTTTTGTCTTTCCAGTGAAAGGAAGCTTCACTGATGAAAAACCCAGATGAATCCTGAAAAGAAACAGCATGAACATTTCTCAGAAAACATCTTAATATTCTTCAACTTGGTACATAAGCCATGTAGTTGAATGTTTAAACAAGAATAAATCTTTCTGTCTGTTTCTCTCTTAGTACACATTATGAAACATAAGATAAAATTAATTTAGACTAAAATTGATTTTAAAAGACTGAGATGAACAAGTGCTATAAAGCTTAAAACTTTGTCAATTACTTCAAGGGCAAGAAAGTTGTGAATAATTATGGGAATTGAAAATGATATGGGTTGGATACATTTGAAAAGTACACTGCACATGGAAGGTATTACTATATTACAGATTAAGACAAAATGTATTTTTAGTTTCCTAAATATTTTTATCTGGTGGTTTACTGAGGGAGAATAAAAACCAAAAGTATATAATTTTTGAGCATGCACAAAGTGCTAACTTGGTTCTTTAAGAGAAAAGAGGATGCATTTTCAGCAACTATAAAATTTCTTTTGGATCATAAATCTATCCATAATAATTGTCTAATATATATATATATTAGGTTAGTAATAAGGGTTAATTTTGTGGGTACAATTGTAGGTCAAATTAAAATAATCACTATAACTAAGCAGTCTAGCAGTTTTTATTCAGCCCTTATATATACAAAAAAGGTCTTGTGGTTTGCTTTGTATAGTATACACACAGCATTCAATTTATACTGACTTCATTGTAATATCACATTGGCAATTACTTGATTCAAAATATAATAAAAACTATCTTATCCTGGTTTATAAGCAGCTAGACATATTTGGGCCTAATTACAATTAGATTTTGATGGTGAGTCTCATGAATAATTTATTCTTCTTTAAAAATAGCTTTCCATTCTGTTGGAAAATGTGGTAGAACCTGGAATAGTTTCTAAATTAATTGCTTGGTAATGTTTATTTTAAGGAATTTCAATAACTACACATAGTAGAATTATTTTTGTCTCATGCAAAATCAGGTCATGGAATATCAGTGCATGCAAGTCTTAAACTCGAGGTTAAAATTAATTCATGAGTTTATTCCAAGTATTTTAGCCTCCTCAATAATGTATTCAAAGAATGGACTGTATCTCAATGTAATGCATTTAGCTGTGGCAAGTTCTGGTTTCCTTTTGGAGTAATAATATATATTAGTAGATGGATGGCTAAAAATTTCCAAGTTTAAAATAGTTTCAAGTTAAAGATGTCAGTATTAGTTTGAATTATATTTAAAAATCGTGAAACCTGACCATTTTTGAGAAACATAGGTTATATCAAATATGAGGAATAGCCCAGAGATTTATACAGAGGGACAGGAAAAGTCCTATTATCCAGATATCAAAGATTGGATTCAAGAAATGTATCACATTTTTAAAGATTGTTTTTATACTAATTAAAACACAATGTGTTTCCCTATTACAGATTTCCTAATATTTTGCAAAAGTAGACACATTTCCATGTGTAATTTGATATATTGCTATTAAATGAATATGTCATCTGTTTAGGTGATTTATATCAAATTAGTATGTTCTTTTTTCTTTTAGTTTAGTATTATAACTTAATAATTAACTGTTGGATGCGTGTACATTAATGTCTTCCTCTTAATTTGTTTTGTATATATTTTAAACTGCAACAATATAATTAAAATTATTTCTTATTGGCCACAATGCTTATTACTTTTTATTTTTGTATCCATCTGAGACTTTATGTAAAAAGCTTTGCAATAAAATTATGCAGTGTACCATGTCTTTGATTTTCTGTGCTCATTGCTAATTTAGAAATGCAGTCATTCTTATCCAAAAGAAGCAAATAGTTATGATTGGCCACTGCAGATTGTTTAAGGTTATTAAATAACGTGTTGACATCGTCATCCTTGATTGCTACTGTTCAATAGATTTACATGAACTAAGATCCATTTGCCTTCTGCTATTTGTCATGTTTCCCTGATTCCAAGAAATTTGAAGGAGACATTTATGCTGCTGAAGCTGAATGGAGCTGTAAACAATGTGCCTGGTGAAACTTAACTGTGGTGGAAAGTAGCAAGTGCAGCAGGCTGTTGTAATAGGGTCAATCTATTTCCCACAGTGCCCCAGAACAGAATTAAAGAAGAGTAAATGGGGGAAAGGACGTGCAGATTTTTTTTTTAAAGGCCCCATTCACACAGTAAGTAGCAGTGCTGGCACTCAGAAATTTTTAAGATCAGTTCATGCAACCATTTTACTGAAACAAAGTAGCTTGGATCTAGCAATGCCTGATTTTACAAACTCTCAGTTCTATTTCCAGTAAATATTGGAACTAACAAAAATCTGGATTTCAGGCATAATGGACTTCATCCTAGACAATGAAATGTCCATTGCATGTTGAAACAATCCAAACAACGTTTTACTATGTTTTATGTTTATCTGTGTTTCAGTGCAAATAATACTTGTTGCTTTTAGATACTATTTCATCCTTTTTCATTATAGTCATGGTTTGGGATTCAGTATTTCTAAATACTGTAGTTAATGAGCCATGGCTTGAAAGGAAGGGAGCAAAAAGGGAAAAAAAGTGTAGATGGCAGTATAATGGAGTACCAATACTCTTATCTGGGTTTGATCAGATTTGCCCCAAGTTTTCCTCTAGTAGCGCTCCAGGCATCTGTTCTTGGGCTTCATTGCCCAAAGCGCCTCAATACCAAGAGGTGCCCCAGGATTGGCACAAAGGCTGCATGGGAGAGATGCAGTCCAAGGCTCTATCCACCCATCTATTCCTAGCAGTGACTAAAACTTCAGCTAAGCCACCCACCAGATCCTCTGGAAATCCATTGGGTTTGCTGGTTACTTGAAGGAGTCCAATCAAATGGCCCTATCCCCCTCAGAGTATGACACCAGTGAGCTGGAAGGCAATCAGAATATGACATGACAATTACAGAAAAAGGTGATTGATTTTACATAGAACTTTGGTCTGATTCCACAGGGCTGCAATTGTCACTTGAGTTTTACAACTCCCTATGTCAGTGGTGGTGAACCTATGGCACGGGTGCCAGAGGTGGCACTCGGAGCCCTCTCTGTGGGCACACGTGGCGTTGCCCCAGCCTTGCCTCCCCCTGCGACCCCCTCCTCTCCATCAGCCCCCCTGAAGGAGAGTCGCCCTCGAGCGTGGCCCACACGGAGCAGCACAGCCAAGGACATGGCAGCCAGGCAGCGTAGACAAGACTCTGCTCTCACACCCCATCATGCAGTTGATGCTGCAGGGCATGGGCAGAGGGTGTGGCCGCCATAGCGCTGCTGGGCTGCCTAGGCAATCTGCAGTGGGCCCTGGAGGTGGTGAGTGGTCCTGTGGGCAGGCGGGGCAGGGGATAGGGGAGGCAGAGCAGGGGCGGGGCAGGGGGGTGGAGTGGAGTGGGGGCGGAGCCAGTTTTTGGGCACTCGGTCTCTAAAAGGTTTGCTATCACTGCCCTATGTGAATTACATATTAAGAGTAACATCATGTTTTGTTTTACATAATTTCATTTATCTGAATCAAGGATCAGAATATACTGAAATTGTATACAAGGACAGAGAATATAAAGACCATTGCAATTCTTGATTTAGAAAGATTATCTCCAACTAAGATCAAATTCTTTCGGAGAATGAGATATGTTACTTTTGTCACCTAATTAATTTATCCTAGCTACTTCCCATTGAGTTACTGTGAGGATGAAAAGCAGCTTGTTTCCCACAGATAGATTTCCCAACTTCTCAGTTCTAAAAATAGCCATGTTCTTTTAGTGTGTTAAATTTCCATGGAGATCCAGCTGTCATGAACGCTTAAATGATTTTAGCTACAGTTTGTAACATACAGAATACAATGTTTTAAAAGCGTGGTTGCTTCTCTCTACCACTACCACAGTTCTAACCTAGAGCCTACCCACTAGCCCTATAGAATGAGAGTCTAGAACATGGATCAATATAACAACAACGATAATAACATAGTTGGAAGGGACCTTGGAGGTCTTCTAGTCCAACCCCCTGCTCAGGCAGAAAACCCTATACTATTTCAGACAAATGGTTGTACAGTCTCTTCTTAAAAACTTCCAGTGTTGGAGCATTCACAACTTCTGGAGGCAGGTTGTTCCACTGATTTAAGTGTTCTGTCAGGAAATTTCTCCTTAGTTCTATATTGCTTCTCTCTTTGGTTAGTTTCGATCCATTGCTTCCTATCTTGCCTTCAGGTGCCTTGGAGAATAGCTTGACTCCCTCTTCTTTTTGGTAACCGCTGAGATATGGGAACACAGCTATCATGTCACCCCTAGTCCTTCTCTTCATTAAACTAGACATACCCAATTCAAGCAATCATTCTTTATGTTTTAGCCTCCAGTCCCCTAATTATCTTTGTTGCTCTTCTCTGTACTCTTTCAAGAGTTTCAACATCTTTTTTACACCATGGTGACCAAAACTGAATGTAGTATTCCAAGTATGGCCTTACC